ACAGTCTTACCTGTATAACAAATTATAATAAAACTTATAATACTGTGACAGTCTTACCTATATAACAAATTATAATAAAACTTATATTACTGTGACGGTCTTACCTGTATAACAAATTATAATAAAACTTATATTACTGTGACGGTCTTACCTGTATAACAAATTATAATAAAACTTATAATACTGTGACAGTCTTACCTGTATAACAAATTATAATAAAACTTATAATACTGTGACAGTCTTACCTGTATAACAAATTATAATAAAATTTATAATACTGTGACAGTATTACCTGTATAACAAATTATAATAATCCTCTATTACTGTGACAGTCTTACCTGTATAACAAATTATAATAATCCTCTATTACTGTGACAGTCTTACCTGTATAACAAATTATAATAATCCTCTATTACTGTGACAGTCTTACCTGTATAACAAATTATAATAAAACTTATAATACTGTGGGAGTCTTACCTGTATAACAAATTATAATAAAACTTATAATACTGTGACGGTCTTACCTGTATAACAAATTATAATAAAACTTATAATACTGTGATAGTCTTACCTGTATAACAAATTATAATAAAACTTATAATACTGTGGAGTCTTACCTGTATAACAAATTATAATAAAACTTATATTACTGTGACAGTCTTACCTGTATAACAAATTATAATAAAACTTATAATACTGTGACAGTCTTACCTGTATAACAAATTATAATAAAACTTATAATACTGTGGGAGTCTTACCTGTAAAACAAATTATAATAAAACTTATAATACTGTGGGAGTCTTACCTGTATAACAAATTATAATAAAACTTATATTACTGTGACAGTCTTACCTGTAAAACAAATTATAATAAAACTTATAATACTGTGTGAGTCTTACCTGTATAACAAATTATAATAAAACTTATAATACTGTGACGGTCTTACATGTATAACAAATTATAATAAAACTTTTATTACTGTGACAGTCTTACCTGTATAACAAATTATAATAGTACTTTTAGTACTGTGACGGTTTTACCTGTATAACAAATTATAATAATCCTCTATTACTGTGACAGTCTTACCTGTATAACAAATTATAATAAAACTTATAATACTGTGACAGTCTTACCTGTATAATAAATTATAATAAAATTTATAATACTGTGACAGTCTTACCTGTATAACAAATTATAATAAAACTTTTATTACTGTGTCTTACCTGTTAAACAAATTATAATAATCCTCTATTACTGTGACAGTCTTACCTGTATAACAAATTATAATAAAACTTATAATACTGTGACAGTCTTACCTGTAAAACAATTTATAACAAAACTTATGATACTGTGACGGTCTTACCTGTATAACAAATTATAATAAAACTTATAATACTGTGACAGTCTTACCTGTAAAACAATTTATAACAAAACTTATAATACTGTGACGGTCTTACCTGTTAAACAAATTATAATAATCCTCTATTACTGTGACAGTCTTACCTGTATAACAAATTATAATAAAACTTATAATACTGTGACAGTCTTACCTGTATAACAAATTATAATAAAACTTTTATTACTGTGACGGTCTTACCTGTTAAACAAATTATAATAATCCTCTATTACTGTGACAGTCTTACCTGTATAACAAATTATAATAAAACTTATAATACTGTGACAGTCTTACCTGTATAACAAATTATAATAAAACTTTTATTACTGTGACAGTCTTACCTGTATAACAAATTATAATAAAACTTATAATACTGTGATAGTCTTACCTGTATAACAAATTATAATAAAACTTATAATACTGTGACAGTCTTACCTGTATAACAAATTATAATAAAACTTATAATACTGTGACAGTCTTACCTGTATAACAAATTATAATAAAACTTATAATACTGTGATAGTCTTACCTGTATAACAAATTATAATAAAACTTATAATACTGTGATAGTCTTACCTGTATAACAAATTATAATAAAACTTATAATACTGTGATAGTCTTACCTGTATAACAAATTATAATAAAACTTATAATACTGTGGAGTCTTACCTGTATAACAAATTATAATAAAACTTATAATACTGTGACAGTCTTACCTATATAACAAATTATAATAAAACTTATAATACTGTGACAGTCTTACCTGTATAACAAATTATAATAAAACTTATAATACTGTGATAGTCTTACCTGTATAACAAATTATAATAAAACTTATAATACTGTGACGGTCTTACCTGTATAACAAATTATAATAAAACTTATAATACTGTGATAGTCTTACCTGTATAACAAATTATAATAAAACTTATAATACTGTGGGAGTCTTACCTATATAACAAATTATAATAAAACTTATAATACTGTGACAGTCTTACCTGTATAACAAATTATAATAAAATTTATAATACTGTGTAAAACAAATTATAATAATCCTCTATTACTGTGACGGTCTTACCTGTATGACAAATTATAATAAAACTTATAATACTGTGACGGTCTTACCTATATAACAAATTATAATAAAACTTATAATACTGTGATAGTAGTCTTACCTGTATAACAAATTATAATAAAACTTTTATTACTGTGACGGTCTTACCTGTATGACAAATTATAATAAAACTTATAATACTGTGACGGTCTTACCTATATAACAAATTATAATAAAACTTATAATACTGTGACGGTCTTACCTGTATAACAAATTATAATAAAACTTATAATACTGTGACAGTCTTACCTGTATAACAAATTATAATAATCCTCTATTACTGTGACGGTCTTACCTGTATGACAAATTATAATAAAACTTATAATACTGTCTTACCTATATAACAAATTATAATAAAACTTATAATGACGGTCTTACCTATATAACAAATTATAATAAAACTTATAATACTGTGACAGTCTTACCTATATAACAAATTATAATAAAACTTATAATACTGTGACAGTCTTACCTGTATAACAAATTATAATAAAACTTTTATTACTGTGACAGTCTTACCTGTATAATAAATTATGATAATACTATTTTATTACTGTCTCATCCTATGGCTTGATTAATGTATTATTTTATCACTGTCTCATTAGATTTTTTAAACAATATATTTTTTGTGTCTGTCTCATAATTGAAACAGTATATTATTTTAAACTATTTGAACAATTCATAGTCATAACAGGGAAGTGTCTACAAAACGAAGTTTTATTTCATCGGTTCATATATAAACTTCGTCCAATTTTGTAACTTTTCGTATTTTACTAATATTTATGTAAATTATCTAGGATAAATTTCCCTAGCAAACGAGGAAAAAGAGTTTGCTAAACCTATAGGGACACAGCATGTTTTAATGAAAGACGAATAAACGACATTGGAAAGAAAGAACTCCAAACTCATCTTGTTTATTGGCAATTCGTGCGAAGAGTGATATTTGAAGAGTGATATTTCTTTTATTCCTTCCAGTATACTCACGCCATCTATATTTTCACAAATGCTTTACATCGAAGTCTGTTCCCAAACTGGTCTCAAAACACATGAATAATATTTACTTATAAAGTATACAAGATATGGCTACCAGGTTAGGACACCTCTTGTTGGAATGATCGCATGAAATATTTAAAATATCGTTTCAGGTCGTATATATGCCATTCTTACTGTCGTAATGGCCCCCAGGGAGCCATGCGTCCCTATAAAGGTGAAATTTACTCCTGTGGTGGCACAGTACCCTAAGTGTTGAGTATACACATATGGTCCTTCATAGCCACCTGACCAGAAGAAACCAACCGCACGGCTTGGGTGGTAAGTTTATACTTTCAAAATAAAAAACCTAAATATTTACTCTAGAATATCCGGATTTTGTGTATCAAGGAGTTCGATACATATTCTCATCGTGTGTTTGTTTGATACAATCCAGACTGGGATTTACCCCCTCCTGCTTCTCCCCCTCCCATCGATCACCCGATCTCACGTGGAAAGCACGTACCAATGTCACCATGTGTTCAGAGCAATAATTTCAGAAAAAATGTTAAATGTCCGAACAGTTTGTTACCATGCCTTTCACTGTATCAACAACATTTGTTTAAATATACAGATGGTGTCCTATGTTTAAGCGGAGAACACTTTTCCGTCGATAGTATCTGTCAATATCCATATTTCTTGTAAAGAGTGTCTGTATAATTAGACAGAAGTAAGTACAGACTTTAAGGTGTATTAATTTCTGTATAACTTACGCATTCATTAATTTGTCATCACAATAAATAGGTTTTTTTTAAATTATATATAATCTTTGTGAATACGATGTCGAACACTACGTGATATTCATATCGCTGTATATAAATCCAAAGGTTTTTGGCCTTTTTTTATCAAATAAGAAAAATACGTATCGACGAATTGCGTATTAAGTTCACTTCAGTTAAATTATGCATTGGACAATTTTGAACATTTATTACAATACAAGTTTTATTTTAAATTATTAAAATCTAATTGATATTTTACTCGATGGACGGACGTTTGTGAATTGTAAAATAACTGAGCAGATAAGTTATATCATCATCTGAACTGATGTAACTCAGGACTGTCAATCGTACGGCCCAGGTTAACGCTTAAAGCTGAAAACATTAATAAGCTTTGTGATGGACAAATTAATTGATACTAAATAACAATGGCTAGCAAAGGAACGAGCGAACAGCTGCGGGCAGGACAAAACGTCCTTACGATTCGTCAGGGGCGTGGACGAACGGGGGCGGAGCGCTTTCATTGTAGTAGATTTATCATTGGATCAATCGTTCACGGTGGGCGTGTGTACACACTGGGTATTGACACTCGACCGTACATCATTAGGGATAGTGTTATGGTCGAAGGTGATGCTTGTTGTCATTTGATAAAAGTGGCGAAAGTTTGACAACTTGTTCACATTACCAGTGTACCCGTTATCAGGAGCACGCACACACAGACATTAGAAACAGTAGCATTACAACCATGGTCCAGCTGGGAACTTCTCCCGACTTTCAGCTCCATAGGAGTCGACCATCATTCAGTATTAGCAGAGTTCTCGGAGAAGACTTTCCGAATTCCTCTCCGGTATACAGTGGTAGATACCCGGACAGTGCCGAAAGCCCAGAATCAGTGACTTCCTGTTTGTCAGTTGAGGAAGAACACACTAACGTAGACGTCGAGGCGTACGACTCGGATTTAGAAAATTCAGACTTTTGTGAAAAAGAATCAAGTGCAAGACTGACTCCGACTCTGGACAACAAACACAACTGTAGTGATGACAATATAGAAAATCGGGAACCGGCCACAAAAAGTTCGGACTCAAAGCCTGATGGAAACAACAACAAGGCACTGAACAACGATGCCAAGAAATCAGAAAAACCACCATTTAGTTACAACGCCTTAATCATGATGGCTATCCGAAGCAGCCCGGAGAAGAGACTTACGCTGAACGGAATATATGAATTTATTATGAAGAACTTCCCGTACTATAAAGACAATAAACAAGGATGGCAAAATTCTATCCGACACAATTTAAGTCTAAACAAGTGTTTTGTCAAAGTTCCTCGTCATTATGACGACCCCGGAAAAGGCAATTATTGGATGCTGGATCCTTCATGTGATGACGTATTTATTGGAGGAACCACAGGAAAACTGCGTCGGAGATCCACTTCAGCTTCCAGGACTCGTCTGGCAGCTCTGAAAAGGGCCGGCTTTCCAGGTATCCAACCTCATGTTTATCCATTTGCCTGTTCAGCAGGTAAGCCAGGCTCGTACATGTGGCCCTTCTCATCCCTGTATCCGTTCGGAGGGAGCACCGCAGGGTCACCTGCTTTGCGGTATGGTGGGTTCCAGTTCTACCCCTACACAGGGTTGTTACCAGCGTCATCTTCCGTACCAGGGACTACAACGGGACGGACAACAAATTTCTCTGTCGACAGATTATTGGGACTTGATATGGGAGTCTCATCTAACATGTCCACTGGTTCATCGTCACTGAAGACGAGTAGCCAGGCTTTCCAGTGGTACCCGACCCATTCACCGCTATCCCTACCCCACACAGACCAGGAACACTCAAACACAAGGGGATTGGACCTTAGTCTTTTCAAAGGGGTTCATGGATTACCTGTATCTCCGGGATCGGCGTTTTCCTCCCCTCCAGGAACATTGCACCAATCATCAAATGGACTTGTACGAAACATGTTCTCAAATACATCAGTACATTCTCAAAGACAGCCTTACGACGTTGGAAGGACGTCATAGTGCTGGTTAAACTTACATTGAAGTGTGCAATATCATTTGACAGTGTTTTCTTAAAAGATAATCCTTATCACGAAATAACGTCAATCCCTCGTGGAAGTGGTTATGGACAAAGACGAACTGTTTGGTAGTGCCTATAACTGGGTGAAAAGTGCTGTGAGCATGGTGCTCGTGTGTCGGCGAACCATCACTAGACAGGTATGGCTCCGAGTATCAATCATGCCTACACACGGACGGGTAGATTCTGATTTATAAATCATATCTTATTTCATGTATGACTACGAGATCGAAAAAGTGCGAGAGAGAAAGGGAGTCCAGGAATCGAAATAAATCAATTTGATAAATACATTTATGTTTGTTAATTTTTAATTAGCTTTAGTTCCTGTTATGTTTAATAATACCTATGTCAAGATTTTAAACACGTATTAACATTTTAGTCTTTGAGATTATTAAAAAACGAAAGCTTTGTTGTCTTAAAAAACAAGAAAAAAATTACAGAAGATAAACGTATGCCACCTGGTATAAACAAAAATAATGATAGATAAAAGAAAATCTGATTCCTTGTAAAATTGAATGAAATAAATATCTTCATCTTATATATGAAAAAATTAATTATTGCAATGTGTAGTTATTTATCAATTTGCGCTTTTTAGATTTTTTTAATTTTCACGTTTTTTATGTTAGTTTTGAGTTATATCTATCATTTCATTATGTTTGACAATTATCCAAAAACAATAACCGGTCACTTTTTAAATATCGATCTCATGAATTATCGTGGAAATTCCACAAACACGAATTTTGTCTGAACTGAATCTACGAGTACATTGACAAACATCTGATGAACAATTTTCTCATGCTTTCAAAATTAGGTTTGTTTTTACACGTCGATAATAAAATAATATCATTTCCTATATCTTACTATTTGAGTTCTGAAAGTGTTGTCCAGACTTTCTGGGTTTTTTTTTCTATTTTTCTAAATTGAGACAGATCTATTATCTCGAAATGTTAGATATTAAACGTTACTTAAGCGATTTCGTTTCATTCAAAATCAACTAATTCTAACTGGGAGTACGTAGTTTCATTATACACCGACTAATGAAAGTGAAATTCAAACTGTTACAAAAAGATTATATACCAAATGTTACAAAGTAAAACACCAAGTGTTACAAAGTAAAACACCAAGTGTTAAAAGTAGTATACCAAGTGTTAAAAGTAATATACCTAGTGTTACAAAGAAAGTAAAATACCGGGTGTTCAAGTGTTCAAAGTAACATAACAAACGAGACCTTGCTAAATGAACATTTGTGTTGGATATTATACTGAAATGAAAGTACAAGCTTTTATATTTCTATATCAAATATTCATTTATAGATTTTGATATTATGTTATTGACATGAAAAAAAGATTATGTAAGTAACAGATAAAGTGTTATATAATATCATTACGAATGAACTACATATATAGAATATTTACATATATGTTATCTACGATGTGGGACATTCTTACAGCAATAAATTAGATATGATAAGTCAACATTAGATGTTTTCTTCTGCTAGGATGGCATTCTTATTTAATGTGGCTTTAGTAAACTACATACAATTTTGTGCATCATCATTTTGTACAAACTCCATAATTTAAACTTAAACTTCAGATCATTTTGATTAAATTAACGAAATTTTCAATAAATATCACAGAACAAATTAATATTCGTCAAAGACGATTTATGTTTAATATATTAAAACAAATTCGAATTTACATTTGAAGATTGTTTAAAAAATAAACACTTGAAGTTACTTTAAGTACGATTGGGACAGTCGTAAATCTCATTTATTCGCTAGCACATTCTCATCATAAATACAAATAATAAAACGGTCTTGTGAGCTTCTTTACAACTATTTATACACTATTATAACGCTCTAAATACAATGATTCACCTCTAGCCATACTTTATATAGGAATTACTTAATATCAGTTTTCATATCCTAAAACCGAACTATTCATCATTATTGTATATACCACAAAGAACATTTATCTCAAAAATACAAAAACATATTTATATAGCTGAAGAAATAATATAATGTTTTAATATCATACTTAGAGCTAAGTTCATGCAGTATTGTACACGTCGATCATCTACAGCTTGGTTTTGATATTCAGCAGTTGACACTGGGGTTTGAGAACAGGAGTGGACTGAGGTGCCCCAGGAAGTATCAACAACAGATAACCATCATGTGACTGGTGTATAGTGACGTCGTATTGACAGAGAACCCTTAAATACAATCGTCGACTTGTAAAATCTTGAGAAAACATCTCCATACTGAAGTTGGATGTGTTATTTTGTCACGGGAACATTCCTCACTCTTACCAACCGCCTAGTTTTCAGCAGTAAATCAACACCCTGAAGCCCACGGGTTCCAGCAAATGCCTTTCGAATACCACACATTTTATATGTAGTTTTTTCGGTTTTGTCATATTTAAGTCAGCTAACATGGGTATATTGTAGAGGGTTTTTACAATCAATTTTGTTCATCTTTGGTTTCTTATTTTATTTGCTTTTATTAAAATTTGGCTGCTTAATGTAAACTATTTTTATGTCAATGAAATCATTCGTTTAATGCATTTCCATGATAAACCTGCATTTATGGATAAACAAATCAATTATAGATATAAATTTCATTGTTAAATGTTACTAAAGAAGATGTTGGTTGTATCATGGAGGATTTCTCGCTACATACAGCTCTAGATCTACTGTTTAGTATATATCTTATCTTAATTCTCATGTTCATGTTCTCACACCTCCTTATTACAGCATATTGCACCGAATGAAATGCTACTAAATTTTGTAGTTTACGGATAATTCCTTCTACATTTTATTTTTGTTCATGTATACTGTCTCAATCATTTAACAAGCATTTCCTTGCATGCTCAAGTAGGATATATTTTCTCCCCTTCAAATATATAACTATAATTAAATATTTACGCATTGTGAAATAAATTCCTACACAAATTGAAAAATGTTTAAGAACTTTGGAGGATATGGTGATGTTGGATTTTCCATCACGTTTCTATAATCAGTATAGTTGATCTGTTGGTTAACGTGATCATTACGTTAAATGAGGCAGCCATTGGTTTGCTCAATGTCACAGAGAGATCTAATACGCAGACAGTGCACTGCTTTGATAGATCGACCAGAGTTATGTTGGACTTTTTACCTGTGACATTCTTTATTTTTTTTAAGAATTGCCTTCTGACAGATTACTCGCATTTCACACTTGCATTGAAAATGGCTTATAGATAGATACCTGTGAAATATCACACGAAATGAAAAAAAAAATCCAATTGATAGCAGTTTATCCTCTCTCAACACGGGAATATGGGAAGATAAATGATATGTTTAGGATACAAAATAATGAATTAACAAGGGAGTGTGGGAAGATAAATGATATGTTTAGGATACAAAGTAATGAATTAACAAGGGAGTGTGGGAAGATAAATGATATGTTTAGGATACAAAATAATTAATTAGCAAGGGAGTATGGGAAGATAAATCATATGTTTAGGATACAAAAAAAAATTAATTAACAAGGGAGTGTGGGAAGATAAATCATATGCTTAGGATACAAAATAATGAATTAACAAGGGAGTATGGGGAAATAAAGGATATGTTTAGGATACAAAATAATGAATTAACAAGGGAGTATGGGGAAATAAAGGATATGTTTAGGATACAAAATAATGAATTAACAAGGGAGTATGGGAAGATAAATGATATGTTTAGGATACAAAATAGTGAATCAACATTGACATCAACAATACTCGTACACACCTTATGGATTTTTTTCATTGATAAATTTAGAGTGCGATCTAATTATAAATGTTTGTTTGTTACGAAGAATATATATACAGGGTGATGTATTGAAAACATGTTCACTTCAGCGATACGAAATTCGAAGAAAATTACCTGTTGTTTTCTTTGCCTCTTTTTTGTTTTGTTTCATTGACTGGTATTTTATTGCTCGGATGGGTGTTAGTAACTAGAGACTTATCTAATTTTATTTGATAACCTGTAGTTGTCGGTGTGTTGTTGTTTCCTCTAGAGCATCTTCCTATGTATTTTACTTTTTGTGGAAGTTTTTCATCTTTTGAATTGTAGTAATGAATCCGAATGTTTCTTTGATATTTTGGTAATAAGCATGTCTCTCTGTTTTATTGTAAATTTGTTAAGGCTGTATCCTGCTTTGTATTGGTAGTCTGGATGAGATCGTTTTTTCTCTTTGATTTTGAATTAACTTACATTCTTATTAGCAGTTGTTTCGTCTTTTATATTTTTGTATTTGATCTGTTTTGTCAGTTTTTCATAGTTTTCATAACAATGTTCTTTTAGTTAGAATATGTTTTCCTCTGATATTGTAAGTTTGATAAGACATCTCTACTGGGAAGGTTGTTTCCTATTTTGTGTTATGTTAGTTTGGAACAAAACGTTTCAATCCTGTTTTGTATGGTTAAGGCAAAATTGCTTTCGATCCTGTCTGTTTGAGACACATTGTCATCCATCCTGGTTTATATACAATTTTCCTCACCTGTTTCGATATATAGGACGATGTTTTCCATCTTGTTTATCATCTCTTGGGCTATGTTGCTTCACCTCCTGCCTTGTATGTTGAAACATATTGCTTTCTGTCTTTTTTGTATGTTGAGACATATTGTTTTCTATCCTTTTTTTTTTTTGTATGTTTGAGACATCTTGTTTTCTTGTATGTTGAGACATATTGTTTTCTGTCTTTTTTGTATGTTGAGACATATTTTTTTCTGTCTTTTTTGTATGTTTGAGAAATCTTGTTTTCTATATTTTTTGTATGTTGAGACAATTCGTTTTCTGTCTTTTTTATATGTTGAAACATATTGCTTTCTGTCTTTTTTGTATGTTGAGACATATTTTTTTCTATCTTTTTTGTATGTTGAGACATATTGTTTTCTATCCTTTTTTTTTTGTATGTTTGAGA